TCTGTGAAATGGGGATGAGAGTTAATAATAATGACAGTTAATAACAGCAGGGGCCATTGATTGCACACGTGTTGGACGTGTGTTCAGGACTCTCATTCCTGCTCCCTTGAATCTTACCAGTAACCCCATGAGGCAGGAGTTATCATTCCACTATTTTGCAGGATAGGGAGACTGAGTCTTGTAGAGGTTAACTAGCTTAAGGTCACACAGCTACCAAGTGACAGCTTCATCCTAGGTGTGGGGACAGAAAAGCAAATGCACAAACTAATGTATATAAGTGGTGGCAGGTAGTGATGAGGATAGTCAAGCAGGAAAAGGAGGTAGCCAGGGGTGGGAGGCCCTGCTTGAGATGGGGGTCGGAGGAGGACTGTCTGAGGAGGGGACGTTCGAGGCAGAGGCCTAATGAAGTGCAGAAGCCGACTGCCTTTGTCTTAAGTGGGGAGCTCCTGAGAGGGACCCAGAGAATGGCCCTGGGCATGCTCAGCAATTCACCTGCAGGAAAAGGGCCCTTTTGATGGTTTCCAAACCTGGGCATGTGGAAAGGTAGAGTCTGGGGATGGATTTCAGCAGGGCTCCTTTTCACCTGGGCTCCTTGAAGTGGTAAATGAACACACACAAGTACAGGTGTGCAGGGAGAGATGGCCAGAAGCAGCTGGTAACCTATGGCAAATTCAGAAAAGTGTTCATATTAAAAAAAGTCAAAAGAACTGATTTCATTTGAAAAGTGTCTTAGTATGTTCAGCCTGCCAAAACAAAATACCATAAACTGGGTAGTCTGTATACAACACAAATGTATTTCTCACAGTTCTGGAGGCTGGGAAGTCCAAGATCAAGGTGCTGGTAGGTTCAGTGTCTGCTGAGGGCCCGTTTTCTCATGGATGTCTATAATTTGAATGTCTGTGTCCCCCTAAAATTTATCTGTTGAAATCCTAACCCCCAAGGTGATGGCATTAGGAAGCGGGGCCTTTAGGAGGTGATTAGGTCATAAGGGCAGAGCCCTCCTCAATGGGATTATAAAAGAGACCCAAGAGCACTAGCATGCCCCTTCCACCATAT